TCTGCTGACAGTGGCCAGCACCAGGTGCCCCAGAGAGGTTGGACCAAAGACAATGATCAAGTGATTTGTCTCCTGCCATCCATCTCCAGCCTTTGACAAACAGAGGCCAAGGACACCATTCCTTACCCTCTGGCTAATAGCATTTAATGGACCTAACCGCCATGAATTTATCTAGCTCTTTTTTTAAACTGTTATAGTTCTAGCCGTCACAGCCTCCTCTAGCAAGGAGTTCCACAGGTTGACTGTGTGCTATGTGAAGAAGAACATCTCTAATCTCCCTTAGCATTTCAATGTCACTATCACTGTCCTGGTCAGGTGGTCGATAATATATCCCTACTGCTATATTCTTATTAGAGCATGGAATTACTATCCATAGTGATTCTATGGAACATTTTGATTCATTTAAGATTTTTACTTCATTTGATTCTACATTATCTTTCACATATAGTGCCACTCCACCACCCACACGACCTATTTTGTCCTTCCGATTTATTTTATATCCTGCTATGATTGTGTCCCACTGATTGTCCTCATTCCACCAGGTTTCTGTGATGCCTAATGTGTCAATCTCCTCCTTTAATACAAAGAACTCTAGTTCACTCATCTTATTAGTTAGACTTCTAGAATTTTTGTAGAGGCACTTTAAAAAATTGCCACTGTTTATTTGTCTGTCCTTCCCGGATGTATTAGTTCTTCTATATGTGATTTTTTTTTTGTCTGACGTGGCCCATACTTTATCATCTCCCCTCCTATCTTTCTGACTAAAACCTAGAGAATCTCTATCAATGGACTCTTCTCTAAGAGAAGTCTCCATCCAATGCTCGTGCTCCTCCGCACCAATCGGCTTTCTCCCATCTCTTAGTTTAAAAACTGCTCTATGACCTTTTTAGTGTTTAGTGCCAGCAGTCTGGATCCACCTTGGTTTAGGTGGAGCCCAACCCTTCCTATATAGGCTCCCCCTATCCCAAATGTGTCCCCAGTTCCTAATAAATCTAAACCCCTCCTCCCTACAACATCATCTCAACGCATTGAGACTCTGAAGTTCTGCCTGCCTTCCTGGCCCTGCGCGTGGAACAGGAAGCATTTCTGAGAATGCCACCATAGCAGTCCTGGATTTCAGTCTCTTTCCTCGCAGCCTAAATTTGGACTCCAGGACCTCTCTCCTACCCTTCCCTATGTCATTGGTATCTACATGTACCATGACCACCGGCTCCTCCCCACCGCTACTCCTAAGTCTATCTAGATGCCTCAAGAGATCCGCAACCTTTGCACCAGGTAGGCAAGTCAGCATATGGTTCTCCTGGTCATCATAAACCCAACTATCTCATGTTTCTAATGATTGAATCGCCCACTACTAACCCCTGCCTCTTCCTAACAACTGGCATTCCCTCCCCTGGAGAGGTATCCTCAGTGTGAGAGGATACCATAACATCCTTTGGAAAGAGGGTCCCAACTGTGGGATGGTTTCCCTCTGCTCCCACTGACTGCTCTCTTCCCCGAGCCTTTCATCCTCCTTAACAGCGCTGGGGCTGTCAGACTGGAGGTGGGATGGTACTACAGTGTCCTGGAAAGCCTCATCAACATACCTCTCTGCCTCCCTTAGCTCCTCCAGTTCAGCTGCCCTGGCCTCCAAAGCCCATACTCAGTCTCTGAGGTTCAGGAGCTCCTTGCACTGGGTGCACACATATGCCAACCCAAGAGTTAATGGGTCTGTAAGTAGACAGGCTTGATGCACCAACATGCTTTTTGTTTTACACACAGTTCCCTGCCCTCCAGAGAATTACACTTTAAAGGCCAGATTTTGATACCCTTAAAAATATGGAGTAATATTTTAATGTCTTGAAGCAGTGTTTCTCAAAGGGGTCCATGAAACAAACAAACCGGCACAGCCAGTTAACAGGTTTTTCAACTTACCAGCACTGTGGCCACGGAACCTCAGAGCTCCTATTGGCTCCGTTTTACCATTTGCAGCCAAGGAGAGCAGTGGCTCAGCCCACACCACTTTCCATGGCTCCCCTTGGCTGCAAATGGCAAAATGGAGCCAATAGGAGCTGTGAGGTTCCGTACCACAAACTGGCACAGCCAGTTTCATGGAACCCTTTGAGAAACACTGTCTTAAAGCATTGTGAGAAAGAAGTGCAATGATTTACTCAAGGTCACTGAGCAGGCCACTATCAGAATGGCAGAGTAGATCCCAGGGCCCTACTCATGCTACACTGTCGCCCCTCGACTGTCTAACCTAGCACCCATTCAGCAAACTACCTTTAGCTAAATAGACTTTTCCCACATTGAAGATTCTTACCAACAACCACAGGACATACCACATTAATACCAACCCTGGAACTTTCCCTTGTAACAAACCCCGTTGCCATCTTTGTCCACATATTTACTTTGATGACACCATCACTGGACCTAACCAAGTCAGTTATATGATCAAGAACACATATTCCTGTTCATCCAGAAATATAATTTATGCCATCATGTGTCAACAGTGTCCATCTGCTATGTATATTGGACAGAATTCTCAGATACTTTGCCAAAGAATGAATGCCCACAAATCAGACATCAGACATCTTCACAAGGAAAAACCAGTTGCTTTTCATTTCAGCCTACCTGGACATAGTCTTAATGACCTTACTACATGCATCTTACTTCAAATAGACTTTAACACCAGATTACAGAGGGAAACTTCAGAACTTGCTTTCATCCTTAAATTTGACACTTTACAAATGGGCCTTAACAAAGATGCTAATTACCTTAAGCATTACAAAGATAGCTTCCTACTTATCACTCCTGATTAGCCATTCATTGACTCAAATAGCTATTCCTGCCCTGCCTCCCCCCTCACCCCACTTTCTGTACTAAATGGCTGTGTCTAGATTGGCAAGTTTTTCCACAAAAGCAGCTGCTTTTGCAGAAAAACTTGCCAGCTGTCTACACTGGCCACCTGAATTTCCACAAGAACACTGATGATCTCATGTAAGAAATCAGTGCATCTTGCGGAAGTACTATGCTGCTCCCGTTCGGGCAAAAGTCCAACAGCTCAGATTTGTTTTGTCTGTGTAGACAGCTCAGATTTGTTTTGCGCAAAAAAAGCTCCGATCGCGAAAATGGCAATTGGGGCTTTTTTGCGGAAAAGCTTGTCTAGATTGGCACGGACGCTTTTCCGCCAAAAGTGCTTTTGCGGAAAAGTGTCTGTGCCAATCTAGATGCTCTGTTCCAAAAATGCTTTTAATGGAAAACTTTTCCATTAAAAACATTTGCGGAAAATCATGCCAGGCTAGACGTAGCCAATCTGATTTGTCAGTTTAATAATGTGTTTACTTTTTTCGTTGTATTCCTTTGGTATATATGGGCATGCCAATTCTCTTCCAGAATATGATCTGAAGAAGTGGGTCTGGGCCATGAAAGTTCATCACATATTAAACCATCTTGTTAGTCTTTAAAGTGCTGCATAGTTTTTCCTTTTGTTTGAGGCTGAAACAAAAGGGAGTCCACACGCAGACTTGCACAACAATAACTTTTTTTATATGGTGTGAACTTGCTGAGCCCAAACCGTAGTGAATTTCCTCTACTCTGAGATGAGTTCTCCACTCCCATTTCAGCACTGGAAATGTTCAGCAGCCTGTTTTGCAAACAGGAAGCATTGGGAAATACCGTTTCAACTTTTCAGATTAAAAAATTAATTGATGTTATGCGGAAGAATTTAAAAATTACTGTTAAAACAGTGGGAACATGAAAAGCAGGCTTGGCCCAGAGTTGGGTGCACATGTTTTATAGTGTGGTGCTGCAGGAGCTTCTAGATGCTAAGGCTACGTCTATACTACAAGGTTTTTGTGCAAAAAGAGCTGCTTTTGTGCAAAAACCTGCGGAGCATCCACACCTCAAATGAGCTCTTGCCAATTAAATGGCAGAACAGAGGGCTTTTTCTGCCATAGGTAAACCTCCTTTTCTGAGGCATAACTGCTTTTAGCACTACAGCCATTGCACAAGAAGGCAAGTGTGGAAGCTCCAGAGAAAAAGCACAGGGAAAAAGCACAGATGTTCTGATGGCCATTCTGTGAAAGATGTGGAGAAATTGGAGAAGGTCCAGAGAAGAGCAATAAGAATGATTAAAGGTCTAGAGAACATGACCAATGAAAAAATACTGAAAGAATTGGGCTTGTTTAGTTTGGAAAAGAGAAGACTGAGAGGGGACATGATAGCAGTTTTCAGGTATCTAAAAGGGTGTCACAAGGAAGAGGGAGAAAAATTGTTTTTCCTGGCCTCTGAGGATAGAACAAGAAGCAATGGGCTTAAACTGCAGCAAGGGAGGTTTAGGTTGGACATTAGGAAAAAGTTCCTAACTGTTAGGGTAGCTGAACACTGGAATAAATTGGCTAAGGAGGTTGTGGAATCTCCATCTCTGGAGATATTTAAGAATAGGTTAGATAAATGTCTATCAGGGATGGTCTTGACAGTACTGGGTCTTGCCATGAGGGCAGGGGACTGGACTCGATGACCTCTCGAGGTTCCTTCCAGTCTTAGTATTCTATGATTTCCACTCCCTGCATCTGACAAAGTGGTTTTTACCCACCAATGTGTATGTCCAAATAAATTTGTTAATTTTTAAGGTGCCACTGGATTTTCTGATTTTTCAGACACAGACTAACAGGGCTACCCCTCTGAGAAAATAAATCTAGTCATTTATACAGTTGACTACTTCTGCCCGTAGGGGAGGGGGTAACCTTGCTAACAATTTGCAAAGATACAAATCAGCCACACTTTCTGGAAAATCAGTGTCACTTGGGGGTGAGTGCTTCCTGGGAAAGCTGGTGGCAAGACATCTAAAAGGAATCAGATATCAAATGGGTAGGGAAGAATTGTTTTCACTGGCTCCTCTGGGCACTCCCCTCAGGTTCGAATTTCCTATTGCTTTCCTTTTGTGAGTAAGAGAGGGAAACCAGTTTTAGGCCCTGCATCCTGGAAAGCCAGAAAAACTGAAAGGCAGGGAAAATTATTAACAAGTGTCTCTCTAGCTCTGCCTTTTATATGCACGGTGCATTTGTGCTCAGTATAAAAACAGGGACAAGAAAGAGTTAAGTGAGCTGAGCCACTTCCACTGACGACTCTGCAGAGATACAGTCAACGTGAATAAAAAGCAATGTGTATTTTCCTGGAGTTGTTGCTCAGTTCCCCAAAACACCCATTCCCCGGCCGAATGGGAAAGGTTTATATGATGATGCTACGTGGAACCTCCCTCTTAGACCTTTTTCTCTTAGCAGCTAGGAATCCAGCTTGCTTCTCCTCCAGCCCTGATTCCTAGAAGCAGGCACCGCCCCTCAGCAGTGTAGCTGCAACGTGGTCTAGTGTTAACTGCTCCTCGGTTATAGTTGGGACAAATACCGAGGGCGGAATAAACTCCATCGGATTCGGATTCACGTCGGAATAGCAGCAACACGTGAAGGGAAAGGCAGGAGGAATTCTCTGTATCCTAACCACTCACGTCACCCCTGGCTGGAGGAGTTGATTGGGTGTAACTGCTTATCGCCGTCCCGAAGCGGAGCCGGGCACGCTCCGCCGTGGTCCTGTTCCCGCGTGGGGGCTACATCTTGAGTTTTCACAGCGCGGCTTCTGCTAAGCGTTGGCCGCTCAACCCAGCGGGTAAATTCCCCCCTCCCCGGGCTGATCGCAGTCCGGAGCCGCGGCCCGGCTTACTTCCTGGAAGAGCTCCAACAGGAAGAGAAGTTGAAAACTGACACGTGGACTTCGTCGTGCAAAGAAGACAACTCCCTTGCGAGCCCCACACCGGCGCAGCGAGGCGTGGGCCAAGTGCCGGGTGCCCCATCCACCCGCGGGGAACTTTGCAATTGGCCTCTGTCCTTTCTTGAAGCAGCTTGCAGTGCAGCGGCGTCGGGTATCTATGTAACCCTGTTCTGGGGCGCTTCCCTGTCTGTCCTTTTGCAATCCCGCCAGCATCCTTCTTCAGTGCAATCAGAGCCAGGTCATTTTCCTTAGGGAAGCCTCTTTTTGTTAAAAAAACAAACAAAACAAAAAAACCCACCCAAATCTTCAGAATGGCTTCCAGTATTGGCAGGAATGGGGTCCAGGTATACAGCTCTGATTTGGTCTCGCTACATCACCATCACCATCACTACCAGCAGCAACAGCCTGTAAAGACTACACCTAAGGAAGGCACGAAAAAAGAAGGGACTGTGGATTCCTATTGGTCCAGGTAAGAATGCAGTTTGAATCGTTATACAGGGTTTTTTTTCAATTCTTTTCCTTGGGCACAACCACCTGCTATATAGTTTTAATAGGCAGAGTTGGCTTTTTAAGCTGTAGCTCCGAACACATTAGGGGTGTTGAATGAGAGTGTCATTTTATAAGGCTGGTCCAGTGGACACAAGCAGAGCTGAGGTCAGTGTATGGCTTTGTCACCTACAGGAAAAATCAGTTACTCTCTCTATGTCCCTTTCCCAGATGTAAAATAGAACAGCACTTCCTGACCTCAGAGGGGCGTGTTGAGGATATGGACGGTAAAGACTATGAAGGGCTCAGATACTGTGTGGTAATGGGGGTCAAAAGAAGAATCTGCATAGAGATAGATGCAAACTGTTTTCTTTGCAAAGCTGTGCCATTTTACCCAGGCATTTTTAATCCTAACTATACACAAAACTGCACCCCAGCAGAGGAAGAAAATGTAACCACCTCATAAAATAGAATTTGTTAAAATGCAAAGTAATTGAGCGTAAATCTGCCCTGGAGTTGGTTATTTAAACATGTCATTTGAAACATTAAGAGCTTTTTATCAAAAGCTCTCAACAGTTTTGTTTGCACAGTAGATATTAACTAATTAAGATTAGAAGTAGCTAGAGTAGTACTGTGGCACCTTATAGACTAACTGAAGTGTAGGAGCATAAGCTTTCGTGGGCAAAGACCCACTTCGTCAGATGCATCTTACGAAGTGGGTCTTTGCCCACGAAAGCTTATGCTCCTACACTTCAGTTAGTCTATAAGGTGCCACAGTACTCCCCGTCGCTTTTGCAGACTCAGACTAACACGGCTACCCCTCTGATACTAGAGTAGTAGTAATAGTCTCCCCAAGTTAAAACAAAAAAAATTGATGTGTATCCAAGCTGCCTTTATGCTGATTATCAGTGTGATGCACATAGTAGTAGTTGAGGTTAGTAGTACAATGTGCATTGTGAAAAATCCCATTCAAAAATGGTTTAGATGCACAGTCTTAACTATTAGAGGTTGCTGCAGAGTAGATTTTAATTTGAGTTGATCGGGGAAGGATTTCCTAGCTGGTGGTGTATTCTCCACTGTGTGTAATATTGAAAACAGGTTCAAACTTTGTGTATGAACTTAGTTGTATAAGTCCATGGCATGTGCTAAGTGATTGGGTGACCCGTGTACAATTGCTATATCCTGCCCATTTTCATTACACGTGAGTACAGTGCCTGGTACAATGAGGCTTCACTTCCCGATTGGTGCCTCTTGGCACTACCACCACAATAATAATAATAATAATAACCATAATAAATTGATGTTTGGAGGACACCCAAGTCTCCATGGTATTAAGCCAATATTTACTACCTTTGACAGTGATGTCATGTGTAAATTCAGGGTTGCCTTGTGCTCTGTAGAAAAACCAAAGAATTACCAATTTTAATCTCTTCTCTAAGACCGACTCTTCTCTGTGGCCATGGCCATGGCCAGGCCTCAGCTTACAGACACACTAAAAACGCACAGAGGTGCTGTTGGAAATTAGTTGGTTAATGTTGGTGAAATGCTTTGGAGACGGGAAGAGAAAGATTGATTGATTGGCAGAAGCTTTGCAAAACTGAAAGATTACCATGGCGAGAACTCTTATTCTTGGTTTAAAATTTGTGATTTATAGCAAATAATCACTGCATAGGTGGCTGATAAAGACTCCCCCCACATACATATTATAGAAAGTACCTACTGAAGCCAAAGAGTCCAGTGAATTTCATGGGCTTTGGATAAAGCTCTCTGGAGAGCGGTAAGAAAACCGAAACAATCAGTCTGTAAAACTTAGTTGATTTTTTTTCTTGATTTTCATTGAAAACTACACTGATGACAAATTTGCAGTCATTTTTAACTAATGTTCTGGATCATTTATATTGTGGCCTCACCCAGACACTTCAGTCAGAATTGGAACTGCAACACAATGCTACACTCCATATTACCAGAGAATAAAGGCTATAAAGTAAAGTAAAACACACAGCCCCAAAGTTTATAGCCCAATTTAAAAGAAGTTGGAACCAGTAGAATTGTTTTTTTTTTTTTTTTTTTTTACCAAAGTACATTTTTTAAATTGCCAATCTTTTTCATGGGGGGGGGGGAAAGAGGGGGCCAATGGAAAAAAATATGAAGAAAAGTTTAATTTGGGGAAAACTTTATTTCAAACTCGTGCCTCCCCATCCTGTGCTTTCCTGGTTCATTTACTTTTTCCCATTACAAAAAAGGTGGAAAGAAGTAAAAAAAAGTGGAATTTTCATGAAAGTCTGCCCCACTGCTTCAAAGGGAAACGTTGAGAGATTTTGAACATTTGCATCTAAATGTCTTCCAACAGAAAAAGATTTTTCATGAACCCCTAGTTTTTGATGAAAAGTTAGTTGCTGACAGTCCCTGTGCCCAGTAACTAGCTCTAGCAATGAGTAGGTATGATTAATCTTTTGAGGGATAAGTGGGGAGGTTCATGAAAATGGCAATAAGCCAGTGAACACCAACCAGTCGATCGGGATCTACTGGTTGATCTTGGAGCCTGTGACAGGTGATCCTGACTGATTTGGCCAAGAGACCAAGGGAAAAGAACTTCCGTTGCCCCTCCCCACACTTCTGCACTTCTCCTGCCCTTTGCTTTGAAGCTGTCTCCTCAGGAGCCTCCTGTTTGCTTTGCAGCAGAGGGAGAAGGGGGTGCTGATGTCAAGGTGGCCCCTCCCATTTTGTATCCTATCTCCACAGAGCAGAGAGGGGGCACAATAGGGCTTAGGATGGAGTTTGCTGGTTGCTTTTGGGAGTGGTGCAGGGCCAGGGCCAGAGCCAGGGCCAGGGCAGGGATGTGCCTACCTTAGCCTCACTGCACCACCACCCAGGAGCCACCTGAGGTAAGCAGGGCCCAGCTAGAGCTCACATCCCAAATCCTACCCCAGTCACGAACCCTCCTCCTGCACCCCAAACCCCTGCCCTTGCCCCAAGCACCCCTGCATCCAAACACCCTGCCAGAGCCTGCACATAGAACCCCCCTCTGGCACCCCAACGGCCTGCCCCAAACTCAGCTCAGAGCTTCTCTCACACTCCAAATGACTTAATCCAAGACCAGAGCCTGCACCCCAACCCTCTGTTTCAGTCTGGTGATAGTGAGGGAGGATGGAGTGAGCAGGGCCTCAGAGAAGGGTCACAAAGGAGGTGGGGCAAGAGCATTTGGGTGCGAAGTAGATATCGGATTGCACTTCAATTCAAAAAGCGATCTTGTGCTTAAAAAAGTTGAAGACCATTGCAATAAGCTTATCATTTGTACTGCGGACGCACACCCAGGCTGCAGCTGTGTCAGAGCCCTATGGTGTTATGCATCACACATGCATACAGAGAGATACAGTCACTGCCCCCCAGAACAAGACAGTCAAAGAAAGGGAAGGGAAATACAGGTCACGCAGCAGGTGAGTGGCAGGTTAATGTAGTTATATAAGCTAACTGTGTGCCCTGATGGATGCTTTTGAATCAATTATATATTTAAAATAATAGACATAAATATCAATATTTCCAGATGGACCTCATTCAAACTAATGAGCTGTTGTCACTGAAACAAAGATTTATCCATATGGAGAAATTACAGAGAATCTATTTTCATAGTGAAACAAAAGAAAGGCCAGGCAGCATTCCAGATCCTCCATGCCCCCTAGATAGATAACCACTTATCACTGAATGTTTGGGTTTTTTTCTCTTTGTTCTCTCGCGTTTATTCTGCTTCCCCCTTTGTTCTCCTTCCCTTCAGCTCAGTTTTCATTTCCCCTTCTATTGGTTTTCTCATACGTATTATCCTACCCTCTACAGGTGGGTACAAGTTCCCTAAACTTTCAGGGAACTTGCTAGTGGTTCGGTTATCCCAAACAATCCCTTCTCTTACAAGGAACAAAATTCAAAAAATTCTCATTAAGGCTGCACAGGAAAAGGATGTCCTTTTATAACAATAATACATTAATTAATTACACCTAGCACTTGGAGAGCACTTTTCATTCATAGATATCAAAGTACTCTATAAGCAAGGGCCCCCAGGACATATGTAAATATAATCATACACACACTCCCCATATACAGATGGGAAACTACTCTACAGTATAGAGAAATGAAAGGCCTTACCCAAGAGTATGTGCAAAGTCACTGGTGGATCTAGGGTCAGAATGCTGAGTGTATGGGGCAGATTCTGGGCTGTGCCCCTTGGATGGTGTAGCACAGAAAACTCAACAGTGTTTGAGGGCCGTGCGCCTCCTAGATTCTGAGCTACACATGGGGCCAGTGAGACCCATGGAATAAACTAGAGCAGTTGCTATATGCAGAGGAGCTGTGGTAGAGGCCAAAATCTGGCCCCTAGTCATTGTCTGCTAGGCTTGTGCCCAATCCCATGGATTACACTGAAAAGTGTTCTGCTCACAGCTTTTTGGTTGTCACAATGCAAGCCCCCTTAGTTTATTTTACTGTACGAGACACTCATCTTGTTAAATAACATACTTGCTAAGCCCCCATTATTTGAGGATCTTTAATCAAAAAGCCATCTGCCAGGTGTGATTAATCAGGATTGTCAAGAGTGATGTCTCTGTTTCAGTGTCCAGCATGTCTGTGTATGATTACGCCTGCACCTTTCCACCTCTTCCACACTGTTTTAACAGTGATTTTCTGCTCCTACTACTGGCTAGAATCAAATTCCATCTATATTCTGCCCAAAGCAAGAAATGGAAAGAGGGAATGGATACAAACCTGCTCTTGCTAAACGGTACTTGTGGCCAACTATGGCAGGAGAGATGCATGAAATAAACAAACTGTCTTCCCAGAGTGGAAAATAACCTCTCTCCCGTAGGTCATTCTAGTTGGTCATTAGCTGATAGATTTGAAAAATCAAAGCTACCTTTGATAGCTGTAGATCATAAGGTGTCAGCTTGTGTAGGACACATTGCAATCTTGGGGGGAGGGGTGGAAGGATTGTCTCTT